TTATTAAAAAAAAAAAGGGGGATGAAAAGGTTTTTTGTTTCTGTTTATCACTCCGCTTCACTTCTCTTGTTCTGACTGCACTATCTCTCTCACTCCTCTGCAGAAATCTACACGGACTAATTCGAAAAAAAATAAACGATTTGTAAATAGCATACAGTACTATTACACCCTCTGACTATTGTTTTACCTATGTGGCGTACCTAGGTATTGATATGATATAAAGACACGATAAAGTAAAATATAAAAGATACACGACAGACAACGTTTTTTCATTCAAACAGAAATCGTCGAGACGGCTCGATTCGGACGACGACGTTATTTCCACTTGTTTAATTATAATATACTTGTAGAAAGATATATGGCAACACATATTATTATGTATATACGATTCTGCCCTATTATTATACTAATATAACTCCGAGGTGGTGTAGTTAGCATTATACATTTATTATGTATAGAAATAATCAGCGCGTAAACGGAAACATAATAATTAAGTTAAAATATATATATCATTCTTGAACACGCAATTTTCGTATTTAATTTGCAATCGTTTATGTAGTTTCATCTGTCGCAGATTTTACCATGAAATTACCAGATTTGTAACATTATAATATTATATAGATACCAAAATATACATCTATATAGTACACCGGTACATAGGTTCATATTATTTGTAAACCTGCATCTGGTATCATTTACAAGTAACACGATATATTYCTGTCAAACTAGTCTTTGTATACATTTTTTAAAGGCACGTGTTCAAGTGGTTATTTAAAGGAAATAACTATGTACCTATTATATAATTATTTGACTTATGTAGGTATATACATATTTTGCGTTACACTATACAATTATTTATGTTGAGTACTTATATGTAATATTTTATATATTATTATACATTCAATTAAATATAGATGCAAAAATAAACAAAATAGGTATACAATTGTATAACATAGTGATTTTAAAAAATGTCTAAAAATGTATACTATATAAGGTTTTTGTAAGTTTGTATAGTTTTTGTTTGTTAAAAAAAAAAAAAAATGTTTACCATACTAGATAGAGTTTGATGTGGCTGAAAATTATAGTACCCACACATTATATGTATATATATATATATTAAAGTGTGCACCTGTTGCGATAGTATATAATAAAGGTTAATGCGAAAATTAACATTTCCATCGGAAACCGACAAATCATTGTTGTCGAGGGGTTGTTCACAGTGCATAATGTATATCAGCAACAGGTATACATACATAACGTACTACGCACCATATTATCACCTCCCTGTAGGAGCGTATTTGAACGTTATATATGCATTACCATGTATGATATATTTATAATTCATGTAAAAAAGAATCATACGAATAGTTTTCAATCTTTTCCTGTGGGGCATAAAATGTATATTAATATATTTTAATGCGATCGTAATTTTATGCCTCTATGATATGCGGTAAAATTCTAAGAAAGTATTTTTTTTTTAYAYATATAATTTTAGCTTWAAAATATAACACCAAGGTAGTTATTGTGATTATATATGCGAATATATTATTTTCGTTTAACTTTTTTTTGTATGATTAAAAATTAAATGCCTATAGATATAGCTGATAAAAAATTTAATACATACAATTAATATTTTAGAAAAAGTTACTATACCTTCGGTGCTTCGAGCACGCTAAAGCGCTTTAAAAAATATATAATTTAAATAATTTTTTTGAACAGAGATCAGTTCAAAATCAGTCGGTTTACCATAATATTGAAATTTAAAAACATCATCGCATCACCAGCGYGGTGATTTTATTTTTTCGACGACCTATTCGGCCGCGATATGATCGAATGTTGTTAGTATATTATATACTACACATAATCATTTATGATATATTTCAATTTTCAGCAACGAGGCAACCGGTTGATCGCATGCTCGTGTTTTAGTGTTGACTGTGGAGGACGGAGGTKTTAGACATAAGGTAAATTTAAAGGTTTTTTTTTTTTTAGTTAAATCTCTCTGCGCTATCTCACTATACGGTTATGTAAAATCAGAAAAAACACAACATATGTACGCTTGTTATGTATGGRTGATATTATTGGAAATCGCGCATGTTCGTATGAAACCAAAACAATAACAGTGACAAATTGGACACGGTCTGCAGCGGTTAGAAAAATCGTTTAGTCAATTTTACACTATAATCCATATAGCTGAAGCGGTACCTATACTTAACGTGCGTATATTTAAACTAACCTAAGACTGAGGTGAGATTGCCAGTTCGTGCTCAATCGTTGCAGGTTGGTGATGGTGTGGTCAATCGGAATTTAAAAGATATAAATGATATTTTAACACGTATACCATTTACCTATTTATAAGGATATTGATGTTTATAGATAGGGAACATTTATAACATTTTCGTCGGAAAMATTTAAAATTACTAATTTTTATACCAATGAAATATATATCTATATACAAAGCACTATATATACAATATACGTGACCGATTTTGCAATAAAGTTAAATATCTACTACTAAAACAT